ATTCCACAAGTGTACGAGTAACGGATGAGAAAAACTTTCTTCTTCGGGACACGGGATATTTGCAACATATATTAGGATTTTTCGTTTCTCACGACTACCGGAAATTCAGATCCATCATTGCACGTGCACGTATGCGCGCACGAGGTCGCGTCGTCGATCGTGATCGCAGAGCCAAATCTGCTTGCATTGTCCTTTAGTTCGATGAAGCTTGGAAAGAGATCGACGTTTCAGATTGCTCGAGTCGAGTAGGCTTTCGAGCTTTGACTCGTCGACAAATACGTCCGTCTGCTTCCGCCTTTCCAAAGAAGGATTTAACCCTCATTCAAGCAACTTGGGTCTGACCGTTTTTATCGTTGCGAACGAAAGAGAGAGACAGAGAGAAAGAGAGAGAGAGAGAGAGAGAGAGAGAGAGAGACGATCATTTATCTTGTTACATGGCTCCCTCTTAATCGTAATTTCCGACGTATTTAAAATATTTTAATCTTCTTATCGAAGATAACTTAATAAAAATAACTAGTCCGACGGGAATATCTCATCTTCTTGACTTAATTAAGAAACGAGATTACCCTGATGGAAGCTCTAATCCCGTCGTAAACGAGAATCGGAGCAAACAAGTGGTTGATAGTCTGATCTTTAATCAGAGTCATTTTTAATTTGGCACAAGAGAATCCGCCCGGAGCTGAAGGAAACGAAGATGCACAACAGCCCGTTACCGCGAGCGAGCTTCCAATTTAATATTTACTCGTCGTTCGCGTCCCGGAATTTTATCGCGCGCGGAATTAATGAAGAATCCACGGAAGTCGCGAAGCGGCACGATTACTTGGCGGGGCTCTATCTGCGAAAACAACGTGTGTTTGGCTTTTCGTATTACTGCTTGTTGCGCCCTTCAACCGCGCGGCGCGAGAGCTGTCATCGGCGTCCTAGAAACAACTTTGGTAACACGGGAAGCGGGATATTAGTGAACAATGGTGGCCATAATGCTTCCTGCCGGTTATAACGCCGAGTTATACCCCGCCTGCAACTTGAGTCAAGCGCAAACCTAGGATTGGATGGCAGACAATTTAAGCTCGGNCGGCTCCACCACCCGCGCACGTTCCCTCTAGGCCCCGTTTAAACACTCTTACAACCACCCGAATGTGGTATGGATTAATTCATTCAACGTCCCCTATCTGCATCCAGAAAGGGGCTTCTGGCCGCTTAAAGCGAGGGAAATAAATCTATCTCGCGGCGAGTCCCCGAGATCGCAGTAGCAAAGAATCTAAATTGCGGTTGCCGTTGTAATCCATCGTTGTCACCCGCGTGAAATAAATGATATCCGTAATTGTGCTCTCCGTACACTTTATTAAGCCGGCCCCATTGTTCGTTGCCGAAAGTAAACTCCGCTCGCCGGGAGCATATTTCGCGCCGAATGCGACCCGTCTGAAAGGGGCCGCCTTATATCAAGCGGCGAATGCGAATTTGCTGCGGACGAGCGGGCGCTAAAGTCGACGCCTCGCGACGAGCCCCGAGTCAGCCGTCCGTCCGCGCCTTCGGAAAATCCGCGATCTCGTGGAGGAAGTCGCGACGAATCGCAGCGGCGTGACGACGCGCGTGAAAGATCCCCCGGCTGCGGATTACCGTGGCGATAATAATTTCGCGACTTGCGACGCACTTGTCGGCGCGCTCTCTGAAAATAATGGTCGCCGGGCTAACTTCCCGGTTACGTCGAAAGTTCCGGCGAACGTTTAACATACGCGCGTCCGCCGCTATTTATGGCCCATGAAATATTCCCGCGTTATAATTGCGCCTTGAAGCCTGAATTCATAATGGCCGGCGCTGCACCTCTCCCTTTTGTAGCCCGCGGACTCTTAAAAAGGAAAGATATGCTAAGGGCGTTAAATAAATTTACACTCTCGGCGGTCCCCTCCGCGTAAAAGCGCACGTGAACCGATTAGCTTCGTTCCCTCCCCTTTCCCCGTTCGAGTCGGATTTGCGCTATCGCGCGATAAATCGCGAAATTCATTTGTAATTTTTACGGTGGCCCTAATGAGGGGCTTTCGTGCCCGCGTCCAGAACGCTTTCTCGTGTTTTCGCCTCGGGAAGAGGCGAGAACCTTCCCCCGGGATTTCATCGCAAACCCCGGTGTCGCCCGAGCGATCTTAGCACGTCGCACAAATCGTACGGCTTCGCGCGACTCATCAACGGACTAATTAACGCGAAACTCGCGCGCGCTGGAGAGAACGTCGGGACGTCGACGACGGCGGCGACGAGACCGGCAGGACGAGCGCCACGTCCGTTTACCGAAAGAAAAATTGCGGCGAGATGCCAGCGTCGCGAAGAGACGGCCAGCGAGAGCAGCTCGGTCGAGAATCGCGCGATCCTGCCGGGAAATTGGCCGGCGACCGCGTGCTGCTTTTCTCGCGCTATCCACGGTGCTTTTAATTTCGAGCCACCGAGCTCTTTATACCCGCGAGAGGCATAATTATCCACGAGAAAGAGAGAGAGAGAGAGAGAGAGAGAGAGCGGAGGGCCGGCATTGAATATTTTAGCTCTCGCTCCTCTCACGCGCCACCGTCGACCTCCGTTTTTCCTCCCTCCCTTCCCCTGCAGCCCCCCGCTTTGTGTATGGCTCCCCATACTAACACTCCTCGTTCCGTAACGAAAATAAAAACGGATAAGTAAAGGCAGGGGGATGGCGGCAACTTTCTCTCGTTCAAGGCTCCCCCCGTCGCCCCTTACGACTCCGGGATTAGGCGGGAGAGTTACGTCAGGCATTTTGCGGCGAGCTTTGCATAAGTTCCTCGTGTCTCTCGTTTCCTTTCGTTAGCGTCCTCCCGTATATATCCCGTCTCTTTGTTTCGCGATTCTCCGCCCGTCGCGCCTCTTCGTCCTCGCTTTATCCCGTTCGGATGCGTGCGTCCGATAAAAATACGGAGCCACGCATTAACTTCCGTAATCCGACGGGCTGTTCCGCCTGCGAGCCGCTGAAGTACGTTATCACGTCGGTGATTTGCGATTGAGCGAACGAGCGCAGCGGCGTCGTTACGTTAAAAAGCCGGGTGCGAGGAATGGCTTGGGCAGATGAGATCGAAGCGCTCCTCGAGATGATCGATGTTAACGCGCGTGATCACCTTCTCCAGTTCGAAAGCATTCCCAACGTTCCGATTAATATCCATCGTCAATGATACAACGATCGGTCGTGTAATTAACGCCGCGAGATATCGCGCGTGAGGATCTCGAAGTGAGAGAGACGTCGAGATGTTGGAGTCGGCGGAGCGAGTCGGCTCATCGTAATAATTAACATGGGAAACAATCTCGCAATGGGCTCACGTGGGCGACGGCGAGGCGTTAGGTTTCGTCGTGTTACAAAAGTTAGCATATTCATTTCCATCGTCGTAGTTAATTTAAGGAGGGAACGGCCGGCGAGAATAAATTGCATCGATATGCAAATATAGTCGCCGTTCGTAATCGCTGCGTTGTATATTCCGACCGGTATTCGTTCGGGCCGTCGTTATTGCTTAAACGAGTGCCGGTCACATTCTCGTCCCGGTATGTGATTCGATTTATGATACAAACCGCGCGTGCACACAGACCTCGGCGGAAATGTTATCGCGCTCGGCGACAGCACGGCGAATCGACAAAGTTATCACTCGGCTATCGGGGCGGAGAGAGAACGGGCTTTGCGAAGTGATCTTCGGCGAGTTCATCTTTACAAGCCGCGCACGTCGGATATAAAGTATCTCACGGAACGGAGGGGGGAAAAAAAAGAATCGGAAGATCCGTCTTTCGTGACGCGTTTCGCCTGCCCGAACAATTCCGCGCAGCCGGTGTTCAAGAATGAGGTATAAACCGTTGATAAATGATCGCGGCAGAAAGAACAGCCTCGTAATTGTAGTCTTATTAATGGCTCGCGCAACTGTACGCTGTAACGACCTGTAGCTATAACACGCATCTCGTTTGTATCTCGCAACTGTAATCTGCCAATTTACGGCGTGAAATCGCTCACAGCACGAGAACGCGCATGGAAAGTGTTTAAACAGCGAGCGTGCGAGGAACAAAGCGGGCCCGAATAAATCCCCCGATTGCTTCGGAAATTAATCCGTTCGGATTAATCGGACGAAGTTAAATTGTCATAATTATCTACTCGCGGGCCTCCGGATAATTTTCGCCCGCGAAATTCACAGCGCGCGTCTTGAATTGGGAAATTACATTCCCATCCGATCGTGTGACACTCGCCTCTCGCGGTTTATTATCAATTCCTCGTCACAGAACAAACAACCATCATTTCGCTTTCTCATATTGTGCGGTAAATTATTCTCCCCGACGATTCTCTCCCCCGCGAGGCTCGATCGGTTGTTGATTCCTCTGACGATTCTTCTTCCATTCCGTCGCGTTAAAATATATTTTATACCGGACATTTTTCTACCGTTTATTATTTGCTATTTCGATATTTGACGACTGAGTGTATGTATATATTGAATATTTATATTATAATTCGCTTATATACTTTTGCGTCGTTACACTGGAAAAAGGATTTGGTAATAACTAAAATCTGGCGAATATTTGCCGGCCAAATATTTGATTATTGCAACCAAACAATTTAGTTCCGAATACTGAATATGTAATATACGGAGTTACCGTATATACAGCGGAACCAAATTCTCACCAAATTTTAGTACTTATTACCAAATTCTTTCTTCAGTGTACTATTCAAATTCAATTATACATGTTTGGCGTCGTCACTTACTACACATATCATACTCATTTACATTTATTCAGACAAGACGGTGCAAAACCAGCGGTACAATTGTTGCTGCGCCTTTGGTCGCTCTCAACGTAGCGTCTTCGATATTTTTGGACTCTGCGATTTTCAGCCTCCGATAAAAAAATACTCATTATTATGATTATTGATTGAACAGCAATTCTTCGTTAAGATAGAAAAGTAAAAAAAGCGTGAGCGAGGAGAACGTTTTCGCGGCAAAATGCGCATTTCGTTAGATAAATCTAGATTCCATTTTCAGGATGTCCCGGGGTCAAGGGGGATGGTCGGACGAGCCTTGCACGTCCGGTAGTGCAAGTCGTCGCGGCGGAGCTCGCCAAACGGCGGGGTCGTCCTCGAGGACGTCGGCGTCCGGGTTGGAGGAACGCGCTTCCGGTAGCACGCCCTGTAAAGGCGGCTTCAGGTTAGGTGTCTACGGTTGGAGGAAAAGATGCCTCTACTCCCTCGTGTTGACCCTCATGGTCATCGTAATCCTCAACCTCGCCCTCACCGTCTGGCTGCTGAAGGTCATGGGATTCAGTTCCGTAAGTTGACGAATATTAGCCGGACTTTTCGCCGCTCGCGCGCGCACGACGCCGTTGATCCGGTCGGGCGAAATTCATAAATTCCCCGAGAAATTCGCGCGCCTGTGATTCCGGCGAGACGAACGGGAATGTAACGGCGACAGTCGTGTTTCGATTTGGCCGCGAGAATTTCGCGCGAGCTCGAGAGTTCTCGTAACAAATAAACGTCTCGTCTCGGCATAGCCGCGGAGCGATATATGTCGTGCACACGGGAGAACACGTAGAGAAACGCACTTCGGGCAAGTCCAGAACGATCCTCCCCAGTTAAGGTCTTCCCGAAGTTCGATCTGGATAAGGACGTATGTAACTTTTCGACAGTCATTAAAGTCGACTTCTGTCTTGTGGCTTGGAATTAGTTTCGCGCGAGTTCCCGAGCCCGAATAACAGGTCTCGACGAGACTGCCGGAATGTACGGGAGAGGGAAAGGGGGAAGGAGAGACAGGGGGGAGGGGGTGAGCGCGCGCGGATGCACTACCGACGGCTTTTGAAGCCGCGGAAGGAGCTGCTGCGCGAGAGGCGCCAAGCTGGTTAATATAATTCGCCGTAATTACCGGAACCGTTATATCGGCGCCGCGCGGTGTTTCCGTCGCGGAAAATTGTCGTTTGCACTTCATACTTCTTCTTCTTCTTCTTCTACCCTCCCCGGACTTAATTCGGGCGCATTACAATTACCCGTCCCCGGAATCGAGCGGGGTTCATTAGCAAGTAAGTCGGCGGCGTTCGAGCATTCTCTCCCTCTCTCCTCCTCGCAATCCCGGAGAAACGCGGCCCGTATCCAACTTCTTGATTGCGATAATGGCTGTAATGTAAAGGTCGTTCCGATGTAAATGTCTCTGCGTAGCGCGCCTGGGCCGAGATACGACTTTCTTACGACTAACTTAGCGGGGCACGCTTGGCGATTTTACACGCGGCGAATAAGTGTTGCCCGCGCGCGCGCAATCCATTGATTCCGATGAATGCGCGCGCGAACTTTCGCACTCTCGTCGGAAGTCTCGTTCGGATGACGCCCGCCGAGAACGATCTCGCGATCATTTTACGCGTTGCGCGAAATCGGCGTGACAATGTTCGTGATAAATATCGCGACAATGTAATTTCTCTCTCGACATCTCGTCGCTTCGAAACAGCGACTCGCGTGATGTACCTCGCGATCACCCGTGAAACAAACTTTCGGTTCGATTCAGGTGCACCTAGAGAAGTAGTAAGGAGGGGGAGGGGATGGGAGACCCACGTAAATTCTTCCAATTCATTTTATCGCCCGCTCTCGCATAATCGTAGCGACTTTTTCTCGCATCTGCTCTGCAAATCGACATTTCCACGTATCCGGTGCAACAATGCCGTGGACTGGTCGACGCTAAGCCGGCGCCTAGTCCTCTCGATTAAGGCAAAAACGGTCGTGAAACTCCCGTCGGGCCCCCCCCCCCCACCGGGCCAACCACCGGCGCTGCAGCTACCTATTCGCCATTATCGAATTTATTCGAAATCGAAAGGAGCTCCCGCGATCTGGCGCAATGATCCCTCGATGGGGGCTAAACTCGGTGGAAATTGAGTATCAATCCGTAAGTAAGGAGCCCGGCAGCAGCAGGGATACCCCGTGGGAAATGTAAGTCTCTGCCACTTCTTCTCCCACCCATCCTCCCTTTCACCCTTCTAGTCTACTCTCTCTAGCTCTTTCTCTCTCTCTCCCCCGTTCTCCGTTACTGTCTATCTCTCCTACTCTCTTCGCTACCTATTCCGTTTTACGTCCCCTCCGTCCTCCGTCCGATCACCCGGCAACCCTCCCTCTCGCCTCCCGTCTCTTGTTCCATCCTCTCACAGTGATTCTCTCATTTGATCTCCCAGCCGGCTCTTCTTCTCCTCTATCTCTTTTCTTCTTCTTCTTCTTCTTCTTCTTTTCGAGACATTCTTCAGTCCCGCTAATGCCGTTCGGTTTGCCGATTCCTGGCGAAACCTTCAGCGACCAACGTGTCGCTCACTCACTCTCCCAGCCCCTCTTTTTCCCGCCTGTCCTAAGTCGTAATTAGGTCTTCGGTAATTAAAGTCTCGTTTATCGACGGTACGTTGCGCCGATAACTCATGTCCGATTAATTGTGCGACTCGGTAAATCAGCGAGACAATCAATTAGGAGTTTGGGCGCGTTAATTATTGCGCGGTCTGGCTGCGGGTTGCTCCGATCGAGATTTACGACGATTCCGATTCACGGCGAGGAGTTCGGGCGCCAGCGGCGCGTAATCGACGCAAACCGGATATCCGGTCGGAAAAGTCGGATGTAGAATTCGACGAGTCTGCGAGTCGGCGTGAGCCGAGCGACGGGATATGGATAGAGATATGGCTTATGCGCGGCAGTTTCGTATACTCGCGGCGTGGCGCGTAAGGGAGTAAGAAACGCGATATCGTATCGCGATGTTCGTGAAATTTTATGCGTAAGAAGTGGCCGGGATTTAGCACGTAAACGGATCGACCGAACGAATTGGAAATGGATAATAAAACGCGATATAACTTCGTATTATTCTCGTGCAATTTTGCAGACCGGACCCGCTTTGGGAGAAGTGACATTTCGCGAAGATGTAACAGAACGGGAAGTATAGCGATAATACGACGGTTTCAAGCAATACTTGACATTGCTGGGAATTTATAATACATGAGATGTCAAATGTGTGCGACACGACGTAACGACTCCGAAATACGAGATGAAATGTCACACTCTGTACCACGTTCATTGCATATTATATATTTTTTTACGACGCGCGAGGCAACGCGAGAGGATAGAAGAGCATCTGAAATTAAGAAGTCCTTGCATTTTTCAAGGCAATCAAGCGCGTAGCAAGACCGCGAGCTTGGACGCAGGAGGAAACGAGATGTTTCGCGGGATAACCGGGGATGTTGAGAACTAAACACAACGGGGCGTTTCATCCCGTTCATCGCGGGTGTGTTATACAAGATGCCCCGGAATTATTAGACATTCCTTCGCAAATACTAGGAAACAAAATAAAGGAAGTGCAGGAAAGTAACATTCGTTTCAAGAACAGTACATTGATAATTACGTAGTGATTGTACAGTTGATTGAAGTCGAGAGATTAAAACCCTACAAATTCCGTCAAATTTGGGGGACTAGTGAAGAGAGTCTTGAAATATAATAACATTACAAGACTGTCTTTTTGATAATATAAACGGTTATCGAGTATTTGCGCTTATTGTTGTCCTGATCAAGAGGAAATTATTATAAATAAATATTATTAATAAATGAGAGCATACGATTTCTTGCGCCGATTAAGTGCCATTAAAAAATGTATCTAATTTTGTTACATAGAGAAAAAGTTCATCGCAAAATCGACTTGACATTAGATCTTCGCGTCGTGTCTCGAGTCGAAATTTTAGTTCGTTAATCCTGCAAATTCCGTCGAGTTTGAAGGATCTATGAAGAATCTCGAGATGTAATACTGTTGATAAGTTGTTGCCCTACCTTGTCACTGCAAATAGTTGTTTACTGCCGTTTTCCCCATGTTGAAGAAGCTTGTTGCCCCATATTGAAGATGTTAAAGAAGCTCGAGGAAGTATTCGTTCGAGAATTATTTAATTATTTCAATATATTGCCAGAATGTAATCTTTATTTTTAATTTCAGTCAAATATTGATTATATAAGCTTAGTGATTTGTCAAATGATGACTACGAATGCCGGCTGAAATTTCGACTCCGGTAATTATTATTTTCAGCAAGTCCGTCACACGTCCGTTAAAAATGGAAATCTACCGTGCAGCGAGTGATTTGACATATCTTGAGAAATGTGTGATGTACCATTGTCCGTATCGCTGCGTACTGTGCCTTCCATCCTAGCTCGCTTCTCGATTCAGCATCTTGGCTGTTCCATCGTGACACTGACAGTAGCCTGGCACTGACACTGACACTCGCGCAGATAGGATTCGACCGGAGAAACATGTTAATGTTACGCGATATTGACGAGAATCCGATTACACATTTCAAGAGCGAACGAAATATTTTTATCACTTAATAACATAATTAACACGTGTTTCTCCGATCTGTATCTGTATATCAGAGTTCGAACTACGCTTATAGGCGTCTGACGAAAGTCTTCATCGTGCGTCTTCGGTTTAACCCTGAAATGGTCGCGTGGATGACGTACTCCATTTTAAATTGACCATTTTCAACAAAAAAAAAGTCGCTTTAGAAAATAATAATATTTATTTGTGTGGAAATAACCACTGTAAAAAAAAAATCATAAAAGACGGGCGGGAGCAACTCCTAACTGACAAATACACGGGGCCGCAAGATGGATGCTTGTTGTTGGTATTTTTCGGGAAATGTATTTTAGTGCGCACGGGTGACACCTGTCATCCGTGCGCGACCGCTGTAGGGTTAATGGCGTCTGACGCTCCGCTCTCGCTATGGTGCGAACAACGTCTTTAGGCGTCCTCATTTGTTAACATCGTAACGCCTGCGGAAGTGCCGCAACGTAACGACTAAGTGCTGCATCGCAGCGATCGTCGTTACTTCCGAGCAGCCTAGCGGCCTTAAGAGTTAAGACAACAAATTGTTATTTTCATCTGGCGGTTGCGAGGCCATCCTGTGTCACATCAGCATCACACATCGCGAACAAAGACGCGAGAGATTGTGATTTTTAGCAACTGTCCGTCCGTTGACAGCGTGACGCGTAAAAACCGGCATATTACAGTCGTCGCTGAAAGACTTCAGCAACGTTTTGTAGAGTCGGAGCTTACAACTCCCTTTCTCTCTCTCTCTCTCTCTCGTCGGGACGAGGTTGATTCTCATCCAGAAGTCCTTTTCCACCCCTGTGCGAAACGTCCTAGTCAGGCGAAAGCGCGATGCACTCGTGAACTGGGAAATATTTCATGCCCATCGTACTTCTTCACCCTCCCTTCCCATCCCCTTCATATTTGATAAGAGAGTCTCGGTCTGCCTTCCGCTGCCTCTTTTCACTCTCGAGT